GGCAAATTTTGCAGACTTTCTCTCGGTTGTTCTGGAATTGATTGGGATTCATTCTCCTATGGTTTAGCTGTTTACTTATGCTTTGTAAATGCGTATTGTCGGTCATACCGCGTCGATCTTGTTGTCGCGAATCTCCCGTTGGTTTGCTCTCGTTGTACTTCCTTGGGGGTTTCAGGAAGCTCTCATGTTTAAATTCAGCTTCATACTTCTCAAGCCAAATTTGCTTGGATTCCCATTTCTTTAAGGATTTGGATTCTTCATGCGTAACATCTTCGTGCCATAGATTCTTCAATTCTGTAAGGGTATGACCAGTAAAACGGTCTTCAAGGAATTTTTTCATTTCTTCTTCCGTCTGCTTGCATTTTGATTTATGTCGTTCGGCTCGGACGTTCAGGAGAGCGAGCTCGTTTCGGAAATTTTCGACGGCAGAATTTTGTCGTATTCTTGTTTCGTTGATATCCTCGTTCGCAATGGATTTGATAAGAAATTTTCTGGGCAATATTTTCTTTTCTTTGTTGATCCACGTTTCGTATATTAGTGCTGTATTTTCACTGTTCAAGCTGTGCCAGTACAGTTGCTTTCGTTTATTCAAATGATTATTCCAAATTCTAGATATCTTTTGGCGTTGATTTTTCACTTGATTTTCCATGTTTATATGGTTTGTTTTATCTAATGCATTTCCGATTTCGTTACTAATTGTACTCATCGATCTATTAAACTGTTCAAAACATTCGGATGTGTTTCTCTCTTCCTTATGCTGATGATCTACTATTTGCTGTAGAGATTCCCCAATGTTGTCAAGTTTCTTTGAAATGCATGTTAGGATATCTTTGATATCCGGATTTTCTTCTTCTTGTGTTCGGGTCGCTCTTCTAGTTGCCATTCTTGTATTTGTATAAATTGATAGTGAAATGTTGCTGATAACAAGATACAAGTGTTGTATATAGAAAAGGTTTCAATGTGCAACCAAAAGAGACATTTATAACGTAAAATAGAATAAAAGCCACTTAAATTTTGCACAAACGTTTTCGCTTTAATGTTAGCTCCTCAGGTGCATATTTACAATGAGTGGAATTTAGTTTATCTATTATCTACGTTCTATGATATCATATTATAATAACTATGTTAGGAATGCATATATTTACATGGTGTGAAGTCACCCGTTAAAAACATTCTATTGATCTAAATGTAAGCATAAACTTAATGGGTTTTTAATTAGCGTTCAGATCCGGATTCAGTATATTGATAAGTTCTTTTTCTTTCATCTCCCTAAAAAGTCTGTCCGTGTTAATGCATTGATATATAGGCATTATTTTGAAAATTCCGTTGTTACACATATTTAAGTGTTCGCTTACTTTTAGATGTCTATACTCTTCGTGTCGAATTTTTTCCTTGTGCAATGTCACTCTTTTTCGTAAGTTTTCTGTCTGGCCGACGTAGAAGCTGTCGCATTTTGAGCAAATGATCACGTAAATGACATATCTCGCTTTGCAGTTCATCGTTGAATTGACTTTCCAGGTTTTTCCGCTCTTTAATGTAACAGACTTTCCTGTGATTAAAACATCGCATGTTCCACATCGCTTTTCCTCGCATTTTGTTACACAGACTCGCATTTTGTTACACATACTGTGGTGGATTGTGCCGCGTATAAGACGACAGACGTATAATAATAATACGAGACGAAATTTACATAATATTTCCGTCGATTTACATAAATACTGCGGCTTAATACAGGCAGTTTCAGTGTGGTTATACTTTGTTTATGCTTCTTGTGACATGTGGACTTTATATATTGATCGGATAGCTACTTAATAACACTGTATTATTTATACCTATTTTAAACTACAAGAACACGACAATGTAGCATGGCCTTGTGTAATACGATCTCTGACTCTACAACATGTATACAAGTAAAATGGATCATGTTGCCATTGTGAATACTACATGGCGCATGTTTCTGCTACGAATGAAATTCGTGGAGCAGTGAATTAAACGCGGAAATTCTCACAGTGTTCCTGCTTAACAATCAATCGATCAAATGTTTTAAACTGCATCACTATATTGCAAAGTTTTTTGACAATCCATGTCAAAGGAAAAAATATGCGATTAAATAGCCATTTTTAAAACGTCAAGTCATCCTTGTCAATCTATTTCTCGATGAGAATTGGATATCTGTTTGTCATCTGGCGAAAAAGAGAACACATATAAAAAATATTAATCCGACCCCGCCCCCCCGTCAAAAGTATACCCCCCAGTCAAAAGTAACTCCCCCCCCTCCCCTATGTTCAGCAACGAAATTTTTGACTAACGTGCAAAAAATCCTAGATCCGCCCCTGTAATAGACGAAAACGTTAAAGTTTACATTCATTTTAAAGCGTAGCCATTCAGCTTTCTAACAGTGGGTTGTTTCTTAAATTTGACTCATTGGTTCGCGGGTAATAATAATTTACGTTATTGCGATTGGAGATTAAAAAAATTGAGATGGAATAACAAATCGTTCTCATGAAAATAACTGATTTTTTCATTAAAACAAAAAAATGTTGCCTTTTATTAAACGAATTGTAACAATAAGTATAATTACGGCTTTTCTTCCACTATTTTTAACTCAGTTTGAAACTTCAAATGCGATATAATTTTGGCTTGGACCATCTAAGCTGCCTGACATCAACTTGCTATAATTTCTGTTTACATTACATCGCAATTCGATGACACTCTGGCTCAGACACCAGAATGTTTTGACGATTTTTAGCATTCGTTTAGGATTTTCAAACAACCTGGTCTCTTTTAGAATACTTTTAATTTGTTCTTACGTGGTTTTCCAGATGTAGTGACGACAACATTAAAGTTTAAAGAAGAAAATTCTAACATTTAAACCGACTAAACAATAACATAGTAAACTTGCATAATTAAACAGCAACTAAAAATGATAGGTTTTACTAAATCTTTTCCTGTGCAAATATTACTAGCATTGGAGACAAGGATAATAGTTTGTTTGAAAGAGAAAAGAACAGACTTTGAAGTAAGCCTAAAAGCGTTTAACTAGAAATAGTATTTCGAAAGTTATTAAGCACAAAAGATGAATTGCGTTTATTTTGATACACCCTGTATAGTATACTAGTAATACATAATCTTGTAAGAAAGAAATAAGTGCAAATAAAACTGATTCTGTAACTTGAATACGCGTATCTTGGTTTAGATTTAGCTATGAATTTTGATTTACACAACAAATTTGCATATTTGTAATTCTGCAGTTGAAGGACCGTCAGAACTCAGAATGCTATTAATATGGAGGATAACCTATATAAATGCATTAATGCAATATTCATATGATAGGATATAATGGTCAGGTTTTATAGATGAATGTTAAGACTTTAATATTGATATATGTTTATTTGAGTAATATGACACTCTAGTGATGACTAGTCAAGCGATAGCCTACGGTGTAGACCCCAGCAGAAACACGTTTCGTGAGGGGTCTACGAATAAACGAAGAAAAGCTTGCCCGGCCTACGTCATATCCGTTTTGCGTTTTGGGTAAATTAACTTCCATTTATTCAAATTTATGACGTGTGCGCGCTTTATATTAAAATGTTTCATGGACCATGGTGGGCTTGTGCAATAGAAATGTGTTCTTTGCTTCAACGTCCCGTCGAATGAAAGCGATATTAATTTCTTGGACAGCAAGGAGAACATACGTAAGGAGTTAGACGACCTTTCCTTCTCCATTTTACCTGCAAATAGCATTTGTAAAGCCTGTCTGGCGTTGATAAACAAACGGTGAAGCTTCGAAGAACGGTTATGTGAACTAGACAATACGATAACGAACGTGCACGAAACAGCATTAAACGCTATTGGTATACCGCTTAAAGTAAAGCGAAATGTCGTGAGGAAACTGGGATTCGAGCCGACTTGCGATAAAACTTTTATGCCCGCTACATTTAGCGTGAAATCAACGTTGTCTTCGACTGCAGAAATTGGATGTCTTGACAAGCTTCTAACAGGTTAAGAATTTTTTGAGTAAACATGCACTTACAACAAATCGTGTTAAAATATACCCTGACTATATGCATACCCAACTATTAAACACATGTCCGAACGGACTAAAAAGTTCTTGTTATTCATACAAACCTGTTAGGCTGTTGAAGACTTGAAGCTTGTCAAGGCATCCAATTTCTGCAGTCGAAAACAATGTTGATTTCACGCTAAATGTAGCCGGCGTAAAAGTTTAATCGCAAGGTCGGCTCGAATCCCAGTTTCCTCACGAAATTTCGCTTTACTTTAAGCGGTATACCAATAGCGTTTAACGCTGTTTTGTGCACGTTGGTTATCGTATTGTTTAGTTCAGATAACCGTTCTTTGAAGCTTCTCCGTTTGTTTACTAACACCAGACAGGCTTTACAAATGCGCAATTTGCAGGTGCAGTAAAATGGAAAAGGAAAGACAGGAAAGGTCGTCTAACTCCTTACGTATGTTCTCCTTGCTGTCCAAGAAATTAATATCGCTTTTGTTCGATGGGACTTTGAAGCAAAGAACACATTTGTATTGCGCAAAGCCCACCATGGTCCATGATACATTTTAATGAAGCGCGCACACGTCATAAATTTGAATAAATTGAAGTTAATTTACTCAAAACGCAAAACGGATATGACGTAGCAGGGCAAGCTTTTCTTCGTTTATTCGTAGACCCCTCACGAAACGTGTTTCTGCTGGGGTCTACACCGTAGGCTAGTCAAGCGATCAATGACTCAAAAAGTCTATTAGGCAACAAAAATGAGTGTAGTACTAACATGAGATAGTTAAACATAATACTATCAATACTAGCAATCCGTAATTTGATAAAATGAAACATCTTCCACAATTATCACATTTCTGCAAGTACATCTCCTTTACTTTTCCCTAAGGAGCGAGTTGTGAGAGTCAGTCAGACTGATATAGTTGCTATAATTATCTCCCATTTCATGAAGTTAATTTTTTGTTGAAGCTGCTTTCAGAGTGATGCAAATTGCATTTCTGAGGTTTAAAAATATAAAAATTCCTTGGGGACAGACTCC